ACCATGGCAAACAACCGGCTCTCAAAAGGTCCCTGTACATGAAAGAAAACAGAAATGAGAAAGAAAAAATAAATTAAAAGGTCCCTTGTACCTAATGCTAAAACACAAATTCTGGACAAAAATTAAAGGAAAACCTGGGCTTCCACAAACGCACGCTCTTCCATAACAGGCGATATCGAGTACACCTGCAAAGCAAAATCATAATGATTTAGGTACAAAATCGATTAACCAAAAAGATAAAAAGAAGAAGTACAAAACACATATTATAAGTTTATATAAATTACCTTATGCCTCATTATTTTTTTAAGGGAATGTAAAGACCCTTGAAATGTAGACGGCATTGTGCTCCCCGTCCATCGAAATAGACGGGGAATTGCCTCGAGCGTTGAACGTTTGCCCAGAGAAGGCACACGTTCGTACAACCAAGCCTACACACATACACATGATGTCAAAATTATACAATCTCACAATTTAATATTATTGTATTACGACATTGAATATACATACCATCAGCCCAACCACACATCCGTCAAAGTAAGCTCGGTCTGTTGAATCACCGTGGCGAACAAGCGCTGCAAGCAAGAATTTATGAGTCGCATCTCCCCATGCGTACTCACAAATTCGACTCACATCCTCCAGGTAAGGGTAAACAAACCTGGGGATCGAGTAACTCGAGCAAGGAAACAAAATACAACTAAAAACTAACAAACTATACATTCTGATAAAGTCGTCTATACGACTTTCATCAACAGAAAACTTTTGTAACAAATCTACTACATGCTTTCTTTTTAAAAATTTTTGACCTGCTCGACCCCAACCTTCGAATAGGGCTTTTGAATCTAAAGAAAGGTCTAAGTCTACGCTTAGACCGCCCTGTCGAAGCTCCATCGTTACACAGAACTCGGCGGGGTCAAAAATAAGAGACACATTATCACCTACCACAAAGGCATTCACATCTGCCTTGTATGTGCTAATTAAGGCCTCCACTCTACCATGTAACACCGCTATATCAGGCATATTTAGAAAAAAATAAAACGGACTCTTTTGAAGAGCCTCCTTGTGCCGGTCAGAAAGCACGGCAACTGTCCTGTCCATTATATCTCTAAAGAACGACGGGGCACATCGACATCTAAATTCTGTGCCCTATCACAAACAAAGAGATTTGTGAGGAAAAAGATGTTATATGTACAAGTTTCAAAACATTGAATACATCATACATTCAGTACATTCAATACAAGACCCTCTGCTCCCTAATTTCGAAAACAAAATAAACAAAAAAAAAAATACCAACAGAAATTCACACAAATTCATATACAGAAAAGCCCTAATTTCGACTTCACATAAAAATTTTCGAATTCACAGAAATTCACAAAGATTCATTTACACACAAAGACCCTAATTTCGGATTCAAGCCCTAAATTGAAAAGACCCTAATTTTCGAATTCAACCTTAATTCAGAGAAATTTAATAATTTCAAATTCAAAGAAATTCACAAAAATTCAATTACACACAGACCCTAATTTCAAATTCAACCCCTAAATTGAAAAGAAACCCTAATTTTCGATTTAACCCCTAATTCACAGAAATTCAATAATTTCGAATTCAAAGAAATTTACAAAAAAAATTCGATTAAACACAAAGACCCTAATTTCGAATTCAAGCCTTAAATTGAAAAAACCCTAATTTTCAAATTCAACTCCTAAATTGAAAAAAAAAAAACTCTAATATTATGAACAAACCCCAAAAATCTGAATTTACCTTTGAGCTTGGTAATGCCTTCGTGGGTGTCGAGGAGGACGGTTTGCATGGAGACTTCTTTTTGGAGCCGGCCATTTCTTCACAAAGATGGCGAAGTGACGGAGAAAGAGAGAGACGAAGATGGCGGGCGATGGTGATTAACGAACAGAGAGAGAGAGCGCAGAGGTGGCGATGGCGATGTCGATGAAAAAACGAACAAAAAGAGAGAAGAGACCGGCGGCGAAAAAACGAGCAGAGAGAGAGAAGAGAGCGGCAACAAAAAGTGAGAAAAACCGAGGAGAGAAAGAGAAAGTTTACTTTATGAATAAAATGGCAAAATAAATGAATAATAAAAACCTTTCTTTATATAAGGGGAGTGAAGTGGAAGAACAAAATTAGGGGTGGGGAGTGCAGAGGAAAATAATTTAAGAGGGGACTGATTTGGAAGTTCAAAAAGGGGTAAGGGATTTAAGTAGAATTTACCGAAATTTCAAACCGTGTGCTACTTGTGGAAGTGTTGTTCACCAATTGTTCAAATTCGGCTCGTTCGTATAATTAAATAATTCTAGCTCGTTTATTAAACGAGTTGAACTAAAGTTGTTATCGAATAATTCAATTTTTCTTTCTTTTAATATACAGGTTGAAATTGAAATAGACGAACCAAACTTGTTTGCGAATAAATATATATTTCATGTTCACGAATAGCTCGTTTATATTTTAGGTTTATTACATGAGTATATGAGCTACTTGGTTCGACTCAAATAACACATAGGTACCATGAGTCACTCTTGAAGGATGAGCAAAATATATATAAAACAATATGCTAGTGTGTAATATGATTAATAATAAGAATTGTTTGAAATTTACACAATCGAGGAAATTATAAAATCTCTGCTAATGTAACTCTGGACCAATGGGCTTCTTCTAGCATAGTTGCGTGTAGCAAATTCTTCCAAATCGTGTGCCAAATGGCCCTAACCTATTAAGATATCGAGTAGAGCCCAACTAGGGCCCTCATCATCCAAGAAGACCTTTTTAAAGGATTGAAAAGCCCAATACAATTCTAACTTTCCCCTTGAAGGTAATATAATAGTTTAAGAGATAATTACCTGGTGGAAAAGCGAAAGAAAGTTTTTTTCCTCAAAGACGAGATATTTTTTTTAATCACCTAAATGAATATTCCTTCCACTTGAACGAGATTTAGGTTTTGTTAATACCACCATTAAATTTTATTCTTCATCTTCCTTATCTTAATTACTCTGATTCAATTTTTCTTTCTTTGATTCTGCGTTTCTCACTTCACAACACACACACACATACACTTCCCGTCCGCGGTGCTGTGCAACCTTGGATGCGGCCAAATCGCCGCCGTCGCACTCGCTCAGTTCGAAGAAGGAGCCGTATTTACCCACCCTGCAGTCGGATCTGAAGTCGCGGAGGGCTCCCAAGGCCGACCCGAATCCATTGGGGGTGAAAACATCCGGGAAGCCGACAGATCCCTCGAGGCGGTTGCGCAATCGTTGCATGGTATCGAAGAAATCGAGGAGGCGGACATGGAGCTTCGGGTACGCAGATCCGATCCATCTGAAGAGATTGGGCATGTGGTTGAATCTAATGATCCGTAAAGTATTTACATTTTGTAAAAAAAAAATGATTTTTTTAGGTTTTTTTTTCACATATTTTTTGCATATTGAAGTTCATTATGGTTATAAATTGATGAGTAACTGAATTGATGTTTATTTAAGATTTTATTATGGTTATAAATTTATTTATTTTTTTTGGTTTCATTTGTGGGTTAAATTCAGTTTTTTTATTTTTGCATTGATTTTTTTATCTATTTATTTTGTTGTGATGTAGTTAAAATTAGACAATAAACTTAAGATTAAACTGAAAAATAAACTTATGATAAACTTAAGATAAACTTAAGATAAATTGAAAATAAACTTAAAATAAACTTAAGATAAACTTAAGATAAACTGAAAAATAAACTTATGATAAACTTAAAATAAACTTAAGATAAACTGAAAAATAAACTGAAAATGATAAACATATGATAAACTTAAAATAAACTTAAGATAAAAATTAGACAATAAACTTAAGATAAATAAGTAATAAACTAAGATAAACTAAAAAATGATTTGAAAATTTTTACAGAATAAAATGATTTATCGTTTGGAATAAAAATTCTGCAATAATTTATAATTGGAATTAGTTTTAATGAATCATATTTGGGGAATGTTTTTTCTAACGATCGTAATTGCGTATTTAAGCCGTAATTATTTGGTGCGCTTATTGGAG